GGTGACATAAAGAGCATCTACAGTATCAGGATACAATTTAAAGACTATGGACAGCAATTCCGTATGTAGCGATTATATAACTTAAAAAGTAAAGAACATCAGTTTTTGTACGAAAGCCAAAAGGCTTATTCTAGTTTTGAAATACGAGGTTGGAAAAATCGAGTAAATGGAGCTCTTAAAAGCTTTGTTTTATTAATATTCAAAGGAAAATAAATGTCATATCAAACGTAAACTATTAGAGAATTTTTTCTCCGTCTTTTTGAAAAAGATCAATAAAAGCTCAGTATAGAAAAAATAAAGGCAATGATATAAAATACGAGGATTGATCAAAAAGTTCGTGGAATTCCGTTCAAACATTTTATCGTGATTTGATGAAAGCAAACAACAGGCATATTTATAATAAAGAGTCATAATGCAACAACATTAGAAAAATTCACCACTTTCCAATTACAAATAAGGTCACAAGAGTTTTCTAAAATTGTGAAACTTGGAGGATACCTCGACGTTACGCCAAGTTTGATATGTCAAATCACGTTATAGAAGCATCTCACCCTAATGTCCAATTCGAAGACGTAATTCTACAAAATGCTGTCCTATTCTCCTTTTTTCCAAAGAAAAGCCCGGGTATCCTCTCGCACCAACTTCTCTTCATTTTTCACTCGTATTTCAAAATGCTCCCCATCTTTCCATATGATGTTCCAATTTCAGCAGCAATGTCAAGAACAGTACGTCAGTTGACAACATCCATTAATGCTATTAATTTGTCTAGTGGGGTTAACTCTTAAATGTAATACAGAGCTTCTAAAAGGCGGCCACACCTTCAATCAACGTCCATGGCAGTTCTATTTTTCTTAAATTTCTTTTGCCACTGGGAAACCAGTAACTTAATTCATTTCCACCCAGCCTTCTTCAATAATATACGCGTTTAAGACAGAATGATCCCAGGATTTTCACATAACGTATGACTTGACTGAATTTTGACGTTGTCTAACATCTTAAAGATGAACAATAAGTCACCAACTAATACATAATTATATAATATAATGGCGTATATTGGACATTTTACGTGTTGCACCTGCGCGCAAAATGACCTTCGTTCCTCACATCTACATATTAGCATACCTATTAGCCCTAAAAGGTTTCAAGTCCATTGAATAAGCATTTTTTTAGAACACGCGCGGACAAAAGAGTACCAGAGAAGAAATGAGAAGGAGTTACATCAAATTGTTATACCTTTGTTCCTATAAATATGTACGAAAACAGTCTAATATTTCCAATGTTTAACTGAGCGGACATAGATCCAGAGAAATCAATGTTGGACCGCTGAGTGAGATGTTGGACTGGTCGGTGAGATGTAGGACCGCTGACGTCACAGAATGCATGGGGCTTAATTTCATTTTCTTCCGTGGTGTTCGTCTGTGACAGACCTGATGTTATATCATGGAAGGCAGTACAATATACATGTGTGTAAAAAAAAAATTAAATCAAATGAAAGGTATAACAAAACATTTATTGACTGATTTTTCGGGCAAAACGCATTCTGTCGGACCCTCAAACCAAACTGTCTGCCTTCGGCCTCACGGCCTGAGTTTGGTTCTTGGGACCAACAAAACGTATGTTGCCTTCGAACTTAGTCAATAAATGTATAATGTTCCTCAACTCTGTTAGGGAAACATAAAATGGTATACACAATGCATAATGAGCATCATATAATTATAATATTTTTTAATGTTGTACATGTAAAACACATTAAGTTGCTATTTAAACTTTCAGATAATCGTCAAAGAGGAAGATTGGCGGGTTTTTCTCTATATGTTTCGAACACATCAGAAATCAATAACAGTTATTTGTGTTACCACAACGGACCAGAATTACCTCCTCTAGATAATATCAATATCTGCACCATGCATGGACGTTATGTCACATTTTACAATGAAAGAAATGAGACATCATATCCTGTCGGTTTACGAGAATACCATCATAACAGAGTTATGTGAAGTTAATGTGATGGGTAATATTTACTATCATTAATAAAAGTTCTTTATTACAAGTAATATTGATTTTATGCAATGTAAATACATTTAATAAATATCTTTTGTTTTGTTTTACAAGGCTGTGAAAAGGATGGATTTTATGGTCAAAACTGTGATCTTGCATGCCCTCTTCACTGCCAGGAAGGAAGATGTCATATAACAAATGGAACCTGTCTTGGTTGTACAGCTGGCTGGATTGGAGATTTCTGTAACAAAGTAAAAATCAAAATCTCCTGCTCCAGAATCATGAGACATATCAATTTTTTTATCATTTAAAAATTTATTTTCTATTGTAAACCGATATTTGAAGATTTAAATAATTGTAAATGTGAGGCAATTAAAACAAATCAAATATAATATAATTTCTATCAAGATTAATCTTATTTGACACAGATTGAGGTTGTTATTCTTAGTTCAATTGAAGAAAAAATAATTTTATTTTAAAATGTCAAGAAAAACTTTTAATTATTTCATAATATTTAAAATTAGCTTGCATGGTTGGATATTATGGTATGGAGTGTAAAGCAAGGTGCACAGGTCAGTGTTTTGGTGGTTCTTTCTGTAATCATATAAGTGGAAAATGTGAACATGGATGCGAAGAGGGATGGATGACACCCACTTGTGATCAACGTATGTACATGTTTGTGCATTGTATCTTGGTTAGTGATTTTTCTTTGAAAATTGCTTTGGATAAGATATTACAAGTGTAATACCGTTGCAGAGGTGAAATTATTGTATATACCATTCACATTATCTAGAATGAATACCTAATTCTAAAAAAAAAAGGTTTAGAAGATGTTCATTAATTTTTATGTCAACTTTGGAAATCTAATCTGCAAAAGAAAAATAAATTGATCAGGATCAGATAGAAAAACATCACACGTGTAGGAAATCAAAAACTAAACCAAAAGTCACAACAAATTTTTTTAGTTGAATGAAATGCTGTGTTTTTAAAGAGATGTCAAATTTCTGAAAGAAAAAAATGTTTATGAACTTTATATTGTAAAGCAGTTAAAGAGGTCAAAAGAGAAAGAAATAAATCCGATTTTATAAACTGTGCACTGACTTTAAAGTTTCATAGTAAAATTTAATAAAAATACATATATAGGAATACAAAAATTGGACTCTTGCCCCTCAATCCTGAACCCTCATCTGTTATATTATGTGCTTGCTATATGATCGAACTCCCTTTTAATTATTATTAGTCTTCATAATTTGCTACTCTTTCAATTATTGATAGTAGTGAAAAAACCAATCGACTTACTTATATAGACGCACAACCTCGAAATATATCGAGGAAATGCGAAATATAAATCAAGACCCCGATATAATAAGGAAAATACAAATATACACACTCTAAAGGGAACATTTTCACCACGTGACCTTTAATGACCATCATTGATTTACCAAGTCAGATAAGCTGCCCCATGAGCTCATCCACACTCTTTGATTTGGTTAAGTTCATTTTGCTGCAAGCTGCCAAATTGCAGGACACAATATGAACCTACCCTTGTAGCATTTATTGTTGGTTAACCAGGATAACATTTTTGGACTGTATAGAGCAATGTGGATTATTAAGATATGGAGATAATAAGTGCTTACTTCGCCAACTGAGATTGATTTACTCTTTAAGGATAATCTTCCTGACTCAATCTATAGTATACTTTACCTGTTTTATCAAACCGACACGAAAACATTTAAAAAGTTTTTAACTCCATAAAGCAATTCGATTTAACACGCTGTCAAAATAATACGGATATAATAATCAACCAGACCATAGCTAAAGAAGGAAGTATTTGTGTTGCAACTGAATAACTTGCCCGCGTGGTGCAGTGATTAGTGTGCTCGAAAGTCAGTTGCGGAATAAGGATTTGGTCCTCAATTACGTCGCGGGTTTGAATCCCATAGTGGGACATGGGGACCGGTCCTTCGGATAAAAACGAGTTTGTTGCAGTATGTGTTTGAAAAATATCTCTCACTTTTCAATGGTCGTAAGTGCCGAGTGTAGACCAAAGTCTCCAGCTCTCCACCTGCAAATGGTGGCGTCTCCATATTGGTGAAAAATACTTGAGAGGGAATTAAACAAGTAAAAGATAAACAAACAAAAATGATTTTCAAAACAAATTGGTTCTTTTTACACGATTTAAGGAAATTGGGTTTTCCGAATAAGAATGTGTCAGTTCGTGAGACTAACACACGTTTTTGAAGGTATCAATTCGATTCACAGCGATTTTAAGGGAGTCAGGAAAATATATTGATTTACTTAAATATTTTTTTTTTTCAAATTTATTTTTTTTCTTTTTAATTCTTTTATGTTTTGTCTTATTTTTAGCTTGTAGTGATGGGTGGTTTGGAACTAATTGTTCGTACAAATGCAGCAGTAATTGTAAAAATAATCTACCATGTGATAAAGCAAGTGGAAAATGTGAAAGTTGTGCACCTGGGTACATTGGGACATTTTGCAGTGATTGTGCGTACCGTATTAAATCTCTATCAACCAAGTGAATCTTATAATTAGTTTTACAAAGTTCCTCTGAAAATTGTATTTTATCAAACATTATACACGCAAAAACCTTGCATGTACACTCATTTAGCAGTCACTATACAAACATCTATATGATTGAATTATCTGGGTTTTTCAGCATGTTCAAAAGGCACTTATGGTCAAAATTGTTCTGAGGTCTGTAATATCAAATGCCGAAGTCAAAGCTGCTCTCCTGTAAATGGATTTTGTACTGATGGATGTGAAGACGGATACCAGGGAAACACCTGTACGGAAAGTATGTCAATATCAGTAGATGATGTTGAAAAAACCCTTGATGGAATAATTACATGTACCTCATGATGTCAAAATTCAAAAAAAAAATTATGTTAGATGTAAGACATTTTTTAATCAAGAACAACAATATACCGCAGATAAAAGAAAGATAAAAATAAAATTCAGAAAGAAAGAAGGAACTACACATCAGTATAATGGAGATTTAAAAAAAAAAGATTTTGTTCAATGGTGAAAAAAATGCCCGTGATCAGGGTTTATGTCACAAATTGAAAGAGGAATTTTAAAACAATATCTGTAAAAAAAAATTAAATATCTTCATTAATGTTTCCTAAGAGAAATTTTTCTTCAAAGTTAAAGACGAAATTTTTATTTCCATTTTATTTCCATTTAATTGATTTGTACACGCTAAAGATGTATTTGTCTTCTTTATATCGTATCAAAGAGTGCAGCAAAGGATGGTTTGGAGGAAACTGCTCCAGACATTGCAGCTTTAACTGCCAGAGGGAAGTCTGTCACAATGTACATGGAGAGTGTAACTATGGATGTAAGCCAGGGTGGATTGGTTCACACTGCAGGCAAAGTATGCACACAAAAAGTGAAAAAAAAATCATCTTAAGGACGGAAGATACACATTTTTTTGGAAGACACTAACAGGTTTAGTAAAGAAGATAATTCATAGACTTACATCTCCTAAGTCTTGGAAAATGAAAAAAGACTTAGAAGATATTAGTCAATACTTCAATAAAAATTACAAATATGGACAAATCACACTCAGTAAAGGTATACAGATGAAAACAAATTTGATAATATGCTAGCTTTGTGAGTTAAAAGTTTGAAATAATCTAAAAAAGAATATGCTAATAATCCCATTGCAATATACCTTGTGAATTTTATGAGGAAAAAACAATACGATAAAAAATCAGTAAAATAACAGGCTGATTTTTACTATTTTGCTTTACCTCATAAAACTCAACTGGCTTAGTTTATTTTTCTAAAAATTATCTTTCAATTATTATCCAATCTTCTTACATGTACCTGTGACATGATATTAAGTCTCCTCTTGTGTTTGTATCATCTGTTCTAAGTAAGAATTTTTCCAAATCGTTTAGGTGATAAATTGGCAAATAAATATTTTGTATATTTAAAATGTTTCTTTAAGCTTGCAAAGTTGGACTTTATGGGGAAAACTGCACAAAAACATGCAGTTCATTTTGCAGAATCAGTCTTCACTGTAACAACACAAATGGAAACTGTGTAAATGGCTGCATGGATGGATACATAGAACCAATATGTAAAAGAGGCATGTTCAAATACCTAATATTTAAAATGAAGCATGTTTAATTTAGTTGTTTAACATTGAGTAATATGTATTTCATTTTGACGTTTTCAAAAGTATTCTTTGTTTAAAAAGTACATAAACGTCATCTCAATGAGCTGATACTAAATTTTTAAGGTTGTAACAGAGGCTGGTATGGCAAAAACTGCTCACTGCGTTGTGCCGAAAAGTGCTTCATCCGGGCATGTGATCACAGAGACGGTATGTGTACGTATGGATGTCAATCAGGTTGGCGCTCTGCCAACTGTTCTGAAGGTAATTTTATTTTATATATAAATAGTAGCTGCACATTCCATTCAAAAAAAAATCATTTCGTGTAATTGTATTCAAACAATTGAAGAAAAATTCCAATATTGAAGATAATATTTCCTGAAATGTCCAGGTTAAAGGGCGCATTATTTTTCAATGAAAATGTGTTGTGTACAATTTTACCGGGAAGATAAATTAAAATCGTCTTGTGTTACATTTATTTATTTGTCAGATCAAAAAACTATTTTATTTATGGTTTTTTCACATCTTTATTCGATCATTTTTTTTTCATTTGTAGCGTGCGACAATGGATTTTATGGCAACAACTGTTTGAATAATTGCTTTAACTGCCTCGACAACACTTGCAACCCTTTCAATGGGGTTTGTATCCATGGTTGTGTCGACGGTTATATCGGTCAAAAATGTCAACAACGTATGCTATTTTTATTATACCTCTACTTTTTCACTATATATGGGTAAATCGATATATTTGATTAATTCATTTTTCATTCCATTTAGTAAATAAAAAAACCAAAAAGATCAACTCTCAAATTTACTTTAATTTTTGTACATTAAAAAAAATTATTTTTTTAAAAGTCTTTTACTCATTTATTTATCTTATGTTTTATTTTGTAAAGCTTGTGTGCTGGGATGGTACGGCCGAAATTGTTCCAATACGTGTAACCATAATTGTAGAAACAAGTCATGTGACAACGTTCACGGTGCATGTACTTATGGATGTGAAGCAGGATGGATGGGGTTAATCTGTTCACAAGGTAAGGTTGATAAACGAATTTAGAAAAGAGACTATTATTGTAGGTAGAGTGACATTTAACGAGAGCGTGTTCACTACATGTGTTGTTAAGGTAAATATTAATGAATTATCCAGTAACACCCCCCCCCCCCCCCCCCCCCCCCTTCTAAAAAAAATTAAATTTTTTTTAAATTTTATTTTCATTTCTTTATTAGACGATTATGAGTGTCTTCAAATTCCTTCGATATTCCAAAGCTCCAAAATTTCAATCCTTCTCTACAATTTTATTGGAAATTTTCGCATGAAACATTTATTCGTGCATCCCCCCAAAAGAGTTGAATTTTTTTCATTTATTTCAATTAAAGTGTAATTAGGAAATTTTAATTGTGTAAATGTTTAATTACATTCTTGAAAATATCCCCAGAAATTTACAGTGAGAAAATTTCACACAGTTCTAAAACTTTTGAAAACTGTATTGAGTGTGTGTAAAGTTGCATTTTCGCACCTTTAACCAAATTTTGTTGGTTGGCCAGAGAATATGCTGTTAAACTAAACAAATGTGAAAAGTGAGAGAGCAAACATGTAAAATTAAGGGCAGATATTTGACTTTTTCAGAGAATAAAGTTTGTTTGTGCCATATATCCATAATAAATTTAAAACCTATATTTCCCATTACGTCTGACTTCTGTATCTATTTTCGGAGGAACACTGAAAATACAGCTTTACAACTTCCAACCCACAACCCACCCATTTAAACGTCATTTTATTTTTTACCCTAAGTACATGGACGTGGTACTAAGGTATTTGCTGGAGACTTTTTTTGTAACTCTTCTTGAAAAATAATTTTCTCTGGAAAAAAAGGTAGTCGCATAAATGTTCTAAATATAACAATATCTCCGATTAATATAAATTAATTCTTAAACACAATGACTTTACAGCTTACGTGTAAATGGGATGAAATTTATATTAACGACGACACTCTTTTGATGAATAAATTGTTTGATGTTGAAATTTATTCAAACCAATTTTTACTTTTTTTTTCTTTTTACATACATGTACAGGTATAATCATGTATTTCATAACTTAAGTCTAATAAATTTTAAGAGTGCATGTTTGGAAGGTATGGAGAGGATTGCAAACAAATTTGTGGTCAATGTGCTTTCAACCACACATGCAACAGGACGAATGGGGCTTGTTTAATTGGCTGTGCAGAACCATTTACAGGAGAGAAATGTGACAAAAATATGGATCGTGGGTATTGTCTTACCAAGTGTCTTTCATGATTTATTACAGCTCTCTCTCTCTCTCTCTCTCTCTCTCTCTCTCTTCATTGTATCTGTTATATTCTCTTTTAAAAAGAAGAATGAACGAGGAGTGATCAAAAAGTTCGCTATCTCTATATTTACAAAAAAATATTTTAGATCAAAATGAAATTTGAGTCATACACATGTTCTATAAATAGCATATGTAATGAAATGTATTGCTCCATGTTTGGGACGTCACAATGTGAAAATGACATTAATATGAAGATCACTTGTGACAAAAACATGGTTGACTCTTTCCTACTCGAGCACCACACGGCTGTAAAAAATCGTATATTTTGAAATTCCTTTGTAGTAATATATAATAATTTGTAAACGGTAAATGACGACGAACGACATGCCAGAAGTTTATTCATTTGTTGGATTGATTGTTTCAGAGAAGGAAGGGCGATGTTTAAAACTGATGTCTGTTTTGTTGCCCAATGTAAGCAAGCTAAGGAATAAATGTGTCATTTGTTAAGCAATTTAATATAAAAGGTCGCCAACCAACAGTAAGAAAAATACACCTGTAGTTGAAAATCTAAACAGTACGTTATATGATCATTAAAACCCTACAACATCGCTTACGTTAGACTTTAAACATAACCGATAAAACAAAAATGGATCATCCATGCTTTATCGTCATAGAATAAATGACGTTCCTTGGTAAGAGGACTCGGGTTATGATGGTAACCATACATGCTCATTCTGAAAAGAAAAATTATCATCCACCCATACTTTTGCAAAGTTTTTGCCATTTCTGACAAATGCACGGTTTTCCTAATAAAATATAACATGCATGTTAAGAAATATGAGAGTCGGGAAAAAAACTTTAAGCTTCTGTGAAAGAACGCTACGGAGCATGTCGAATGACCCCGCCTAGATCACATAATTGGCGCATGGACAAAATAGATGCGCGTTAAAATTGGAAAAGACTACTTTAAGAGGTTTTCAACACTGCAACTCTTTTTCATTTTTTATGAAAATTATTCAATTAGTTTGCAAACGTTTTGATCACACCTCCTATTTAGTCCTTTGATATGTGAATTCATTAAAATTTCAAAATTTTATACCGAGGGTACTGTAAAGGCATTTTATTAGAAGGAACTGTATTTTAATATGATTCTGCGACAAAATAAGTCAGCGAAAATATCGCTCGCTTATATTTGTATACCTTTAAATCATTCATCGGCTTACGGAGTTTATATATCTCAGTTGATTTGATACGCAAAAGCATGTTCTACGTATGAAAAAAAAATCTTAAACAATGTAAATTATTGACAAACAAGTTGATGAAACAAGAATATCAGCAGTCCCTTTTAAAGTTAAGTTTTCATTTCGTATGTTCTATGATCGATACAATGACCTTGTCAGAAAAAAAACAATTTATCATTGATTCAAATGCTGACTGACGTTTTTCATACTAATTGTTAGTCCATTATTTATACACTAATTTGACGACTGATTTTTCTGTTATTTCCTGATCATGACAAGGAGCACAGGTAGGCTGTGACCGGGTGAAATTTTGTCTCGCTTATAACGATTAATGTCAACATCGAGAAAAATAAGGTGTCGCAAAAGAAAAACGGAAATCTACGGTACAGAAATTGTATACCACTAACCCTAATGAGATATCGATCTTGGATACATAGTGATGCAGTGTGAAATAAATATTCTTGGGTAACAAAAAGTATTCAATTCAAACAAATGAGCAGAGCTAAACCGGACTTGAAACACCAGACGGGATTGGTTACCATGGAGTAGTAAGTATCTCTTGTTCACCGGTCACACTTGCCGTGTGCTCCTTTTTATGATCCTGAAAGAAAGAAAAATTCAATGTGAAAATAATACAAACTTACAATTTATATGAGAAGGTCACCATATGACGATGCCAAATTGAATTGGATAGCCGATAAGATCATTGTATCAACAATACCAGTTTACAAAATGATGACTTTAAACAAGACTGTTGACATACTTGTGTCATCAATTTGCTTGTCAATACTTTACCCCGTTCTAGAAGGGATGATTTTGAGCACAATTGACAGCAAGGAACCATTGTAAAATGAAGCGTAAGCTGCAACTGCTACCCTCCAAAACAGGCAGTATTAATACAACGCGAAATGTAATATCAACGCAAAATGTTATAGACTGGGATTATTTATTTTCCGTAAAGATCAATGCAAAATGTTATACAGTGAATCCTGTCTATTCCGACATGCACTAGGAGCGATTTTTTTGTCGGAATAAACACTGTGCCCAGTTGAAAAGTGTAAAATAATATTAAAATTAGTAAAATGTGGGGAAAAATTTTTGATCGAAATTTACAGTGTGATGGATACACAGGTGTCGGATTATACAGTTTCCTTTTTCACTGTAAAACGATTTTTTGATTATTACATATAACATATTTGCACTTTGCATCGAGATCGACGTAAAATGTAATAAATAAATGTACCTTTTCCTTGTTACATTTTGGGTTAATTAATTTTTGCATTGAAGGCAATGCTAAATGTAATAAACCTATATGCAATAAAACAAGCAAATTCAAAGAATTGTGGTCCCCCGCTTTCGGTGTCTTTGTAGGTGGGATGTCAAATATGAACACCCTATCATATGTCATTAAGAAATTATCAAAGTTGAATTTCTTTTTCAAATAAGGTCAATCATGAAGGCCAAGGTCAAGGAGTCAGAAATCATAGCATGCTTGGAAATATCTTGTCATAGGTAATGCACATGTCAAATATGAAAGCCCTAATCTCCTCTCAGTCAAAAGTTAAAAGGAAAAAAATGTGTTTGTGAAACATTAATGACCCCGCATGGCAACAAAGCGAAGATTAAACTTTTTTTAAAATGTAAATGAAATATATTGGTACTCGAATTTTAAAAAGTAGGTCAAACTGCAAGGTCAAGGTAAAAGGATCAAAGTTCTTGGTATCCAGTGAAAGGTCTTCTCACAAGGATTACTTATGTGAAGTATGAAAGCCCTAGCCCTTACCATTCAAAAGTTATGGCCAAGGTTAAATTTTTTAAAAAGTAGGTCAAACTCAAAGATCAAGGTCAAAAGGGTGTAAGTGCTTGATATCAAATGAAAGGTCTTGTCACAAGGATTAAATATTTGAGGTATGAAAACCCTAGCCCTAACCCTTCACAAAAGTTATGGCCAGGGTTAGAGTTTTTAAAAGTGGGCCAAACTCAAAGGTAAAGGTCAGAAGGTCAAAATTCTTGTTATCCCATGAAAGGACTTCTCTCAAGAATTATATATATGAAGTATAAAAGCCCTAGTCCTTACCGTTTAAAAGTTATGGCCAAGGTTAAAGTTTTTCATAAGTGCAGAAATCTCCAAGGTCAAAACGTCGAAGTTCGTAGTATCCAATGGAAGGTCTTGCCACAAAATATACATATGTGAAATATAAAAGTCCTAGTATCTACCATTCTAAGTTATGCCCAAAATTAAAAAAATGCAATTTTTGTGTAAAAGTGAGTCAAACTCCAAGGTCAAGGTCAAAAGGTCAAATTTGGTGGTACCCAAAGAAGTCTTGTCACAAGGAATACACATGTGAAATACAAAAGTCATAGGTGCACTCAATTAAAAGTTATGGGCAAGGTTAAAGTTTTTGTGACGGACGGACAGACAGACAGACTGACAGACAGACGAATGATATTGTTAATGTCCCCTCGCTTTAGCGAAAGCGGGAGACAACAAAATATAATTAATCTTTTTGTGTGTGTTAAACACAAAATAAAATTTATTGAAAATATATGACAATGGGAAAAGTCACTTTACAAAATGGTTAGCAACGTTACAGCTTTTATTGGATTTACTAAATCTAAGTGTATCTTTTTTTCACT